TTTTCAAACTATTTCTCTCCCGGATGCCTGTCTCATAGCTACAATCTTGGTCTCTTCAAGTCAATGGTCAACCGATATCTATTCTACAAGTCCTCGTGATGCGCACTTCATAATCCATCTTTCCTCCTCCCTTATATTGATCAATAATTCTCTACTTTTGGAGCGTGCAGTCGCAACGCTAAGGTTGATGTTTTTTTTTTAAATTTAAGAGAGTGCGTTTTTTTACTAATATGGCGATTTCAGAATTTTCTTTTTATAGGAGCTTATCAGTCAATGTGGCATGAACTAAACTGTTCAATAAATAGAGCAATGGTTATAAAATTTTGTTAGCAAAGGGATTTCGCCATTTTATATCATTAACTTTACTAAACTACTTTTTGAATGAATGATTCATTGTAATATAAATTGAACTGCACCATATATTTGACATATATATATATATATGTACATATGTATTTATATATATATATATATATATATATATATATATATATATATATATATATATATATATGTATTAAAATGAATCATTCATACAAAAAGTAGGTTAGTAAAGTTAATGATATAAAATGGCGAAATCCCTTCACAAGGAAAATTTTAAAGGTGCATTGACCTACAAATCACTCGATGAATGTTATGATCCTTGTTTTTAAAAATTATAAGCTGCATAAGGTCTTTCTTTAATACGCAAGTACTTTCAACTGTACATTCAGTCGTTTTCAAGCATGAATTATTTTTTGGTAAAATTCAGGTAGCATCTGAGACGAAAAAATATAATGCGAATTGAAATATATTTTTTTTCTTTAAATCTGTTATTGTTAACGGATACAAACTTTTGGAGCGTGCAGTCGCAACGCTAAGGTTGATTTTTTTTTAAATTCTAAGACAGTGTGTTTTTTTTTTACTAATATGGTAATTTCAGAATTTTAATATAAATTGATCTGCACAATATATTTGACATATATATATATATATATATATATATATATATAATCTTGTACATTAGGGTGTCTTATAAAAGTGTGGAAATTTATTTATTTATTTGTTTCCTGATTAGGTTTTGTTTATATCCACGTGTTATGAATTGCTGCTCGAGAGTTTGAGTGTGTTTATTTAGTTCTTCATTTTTGGAAAATTTCATTCAGTTTTTATGAATAGGGAAGATTCTGTAGTTCACTGCTACTGACAAACAGAATTTATTTTCTCCTGATGATGGCCATGCTGGCCGAAACTAGACGAGGAACCTAATTGAAATAATAAAACAAAAAAATAATAATATACAACCCAGTGTTTTAATTTTTTTAATTTCTCAATATTTTTTTATTATTCAAATCATATATATATATATATATATATATATATATATGTGTGTGTGTGTGTGTGTGTGTGTGTGGCCTGACGATTGCATGTAGCATGAAACAGACTGTCTAAGTGTTGACTTCTATGTTCCCTTTAATATATATATATATATATATATATATATATATATATATATATATATAGGGTTGTCCGAAATTCTTGGTCACAACCTACATAATATAATTTTCTATTTAAATGGCTGACACGAAAATTACACAAATATAGTATGTGTATGTGTATGAGTGTGTGCGCGCGTGCGTGTGTGTGTGAGCATGAAAAGCATCATTGTATTACGATTGGCCAAGCGGACTAATCTTATATCTTCAACACTGATTGTTTCACGTAGTAATGATTTCCATGACCGCACTGCATCTATCTACCTACGCTCTATCCCGACATTGAACGCTCTCCTTCCATAAATATGACCCTCATGCATTTAGACAATATATATGTGCGCATGTGTGGTTGCAGAAGATTACTTAGCCAAACGAAGAACTGATTCCCTTTGAAATTTTAATGCTTGGTCCGATTTTGAGAAGACTAAGATTTCGTTAAAAACAAAGAAAAATGTGCTGACCTGTTACGTAATATCAGTCCACCTATATGACAGCACAACCTCTTCACAGATGAAGAAGTGATTCAAGCAACAGAAATGTGGTTTTACAGAAGGATGCTGAGAATACCATCGACCGAACATGCGAATATGTAGAGAAATTTAAAACAGTAAAGACACTTATACTTAACATCAGTTGAACTATGATGAAGAAAGTGGGCATGGAAAATTTGATACTCACATAACAGACAGGCAAGAGAGACAGAGAATAACAAGGCATATCCTACCTAGAAAACTTGTGCAAATGGATGACAGAACAGTATTTAAGGGAGATAACATTTATTAAGGATGGAAATTGTGGAGAGCCATGATCATCAACGTTCTGAACGAACACGGCACAAAGAAAAAGACGACTCTATTAGTGAAGAAATAAAATACATTGCTATATTAATGAATTAGGTGTTGTTGTTTATACAGTGCTTTTCAATAAAAGTGACTCACCAGATTTTTTTTGCTTAAAAACTTTTTCGCCTATTGTTTTTTGGACCAAACTAATTTTTAATCTTACTAATATAAAGAACCCTTCCCGACCTCCTAGTAAAAAGGTTTACTCACCCTAAGGTATTCTATTGATAATTATAATTTTGGATATAAATGAGATTTAGGGAAAAACTCTGTGCAAAAAAAAAGTGACGGACTTATTTCCTGCAACTAGTAATCAATAGAAACATAACCGAACAGATTTAAACAAAGAATAATAGAGGTATAATTTAATTATAGTAGGTAATATAGTTCGAAATGTTTAATAATCTATGGGTCCTCCTTTATTTTGAATAACCTTTTCAACGCTTTTTGGCATTGACTTGATTAGGTTCTGGCAAATCTCATCTCCAAGCATTGAATTCCATTCGGATATGAAATTCATAATCAAATCCTCTTTGTTGCTCAACTCCTTTCTCGAGAGCCTGTACTTTATAATGCTCCACAAGTTTTCTATGGGGTTGACGTCAGGAGATTGGGGCGGCCATGTCATAACACTCACCTGCTTCTCATCAAAGTATTCCTTCATCAATTTTGATTTGTGACAGGGAGCATTATCCTGCCTAAAAATGAGCTTGGTGGGGTCGATTTGCACCCTTTCAGCAGAAGGGAGCAGACAAGACTCTAAAATTCTCTTGTACATCAATCTTTTTCTTCCGTCCTCTTTGTTTCCTTTCTTGGATCAAGAGTGGCATCATTATGTGCCCTAAGCACTCGAGAGACAGTTGATTGCGAGGTTATAGCAATTTCTCTTGTAGACTTGCCTGCTTTTGAGAGGACAATAATAGATGCTTTGAGTGGTTCTGAGTGGCTATTTCAAGCTGTTTTTATATTGTATGAGGCTTTCTGGAATATCCTGTAATACTCTAGATTTAATTTAAGCTGTTCTAGAAGTCTCTAGAATATTATTCTGAGTGTATTGGAAAATAGTTTTCAATATTTTGTTAAAACCTATTTAAATTTACCAGTTTAATCATTAGAACGCGATATCTGAGTCACTTTTTTGCACAGAGTTTTTTTCCTGAATCTCATTTATATCCAAATTTATAATTATCAGTAGAATACCTTAGGGTGAATAAACTTTTTTGCTAGGTGGTCAGGAAGGGGTCTTTATATTAGTAAAAGTGAAAATTATTTTAACCCCACAAATAGTAGACAAAAAATATTTTTAGTAAAAATATCAGGTGAGTCACTTTTATCGAACCACACTGTGCGCCAAATATCCATTGATAACACGGTTATATCCACAAATTTCCATTGCAAAAATGGCTTCTAGATAATGGCTTCTAGGGATACGACAGTAAACAGATGTAACTATGTTCGGTAGCTGAAAATAGCCTGAAGACATCCAGCATAAGTGATCCGGTTGGAGGGACTCGGTTACAATGCGTGGAAAGAAACGATGCTTGGTTGACGTGTGAAGAACTAACGAAGATCTTGCAAAACAATGAAGATTAGAAGATATTAACTAACACTGCTCAAGGTCGCTCGAAGTAAACGATTCACTAATTTATATAATTTTTACTATATATTTTTTGTGAAAGTTTTATTGTATATCGTTCTGTGTGCCATGTCCCTTCAATACATGAGGGATCATGGCTCTCAAGCATTTCCTGGTCTTCGTAGTTCTTAATAAAATTTCTCTTTTTGCTACCTGTCCCAATTTCTAAAGAAAAAAAATTCTTCTGATGATCCCGAATCCATTCTCATATCAGATACACTGAGTATTCGATTAGATTGATAATATTCCAATTGCGAATTTAAAAACAGATCTGTTTCTTAAATTTTCAGTCTTGATAACGGCAATTCATATAGTCAGTCAGTTATGTGCCATTTAGGCTATCATGTATCTTTCGATACATGACTAATGAGACAGATTTTTTTCCTGCAGTAGGTTGCCATTTCTTTCTACGGTAGATCAGATGCCATCCAAGGTTATAGAACCCGTTCTGTTCTACTACTTACCCATAGCTGGAGGAGAGAGGAAGAGGATTCATACCTTTCCCAAGGGTATTAGCACGTAAGTAAATGTAATGGATCCGACTGGAATTCGATCTCGGCTCTCCGATTCCTCAATCGGAGCCCCTATCCATTATTTCAACATGCCTCCTAAAACGCTTTATACATACCTATTTTTTACATGCTTTATTTTGGTGTCTGAAATTAATATTTCGCATGTTGGGCTCTCTTCCTTTTGCTGACAACCATACACATATTGTCTTCTTAAAATTTATCTTTATATAATTACTTTACTACCTTCTATGTGAATTCTCGTAGTTTCATTTCTGCACCTGCTACCAGCACTATGTCATCTGCATATCTTATACTTAGATTGTGTCCGGCAATAATCAATCCTGGTTGAACCTAAGTGATTGTAATGGATTCGACTGGAATTCGAACTCGGCTCACTAATTGCTCAATCCGAGCCGCTATCCCTTACTCCTGAAAATACTTAATTCTAACTATTTGGTCAATGCCTATCAATGACGGTATCATGACTGGAAAAGATAATTTAAAGTAAAAAATACTCGTAAAATCCTTTGTCTAC